ATTTAACCTTGATAAACCCAGCATTTCCCAAATTTATTTAATCTCAAAACCTTATATATTACTGTTCATAACAGCACTATTAATAGCCTAAATGTGGAAGTAACCCAAATGTCTGATAACTGATGAATGGATAAATAAAATGTACTCATTTTTTTATATGTCCATTGTATGTATCTGTATAATGCCATAGTATTGGGCCATAAAAAAATGAAGTACTGACATGCTCCAGCATGGATGAACCTTGAGAACACGTTGTGTTGATGAACCTTGAGAACACGTAAGCGAAAGAAGCCAGAAAGACAAGGCCGCCATATCATATGCTTTCATTTCTGTGAAACATTCACAATAGTCACTCCACAGAGAAAAAGTAGATTAGTGGTTGCCGGGGATTAGGGGTGGGGGAGAATGGGGAGTGTGCTAATGGGTACAGGTTTCTTTTTGGGGTGATGAAAGTGCTCTGCAATTAGTGGTTGCTGGACTCATGAATATGCTGAAAAACCACTTTATGAAGTGTATGGTATGTGAATTATATGTCAATAAAGCTGCTATTTAAAAACTCCGTAGAAAAGGGGCTACAGCAACAATTAGGGCAAGAAGTGATAAGGGCTTAAAAAATAAGACAGTGGTGATAGAAAGGGACTGGATGATAGGGGGTGAACTCAAGAGCCTCAATGGCTGATTTGTACTGACAGGAATGTAAAGTCCCTGGGCTGACACCCTAAGGAGACAGTGCTCCTGGGTCCTCTGGTGCACAGGTTTGCACTTGAGCCGTGGCCAGCTTCACCAAGGATGAGGAATTCTGTACATATAGTGGATGAAAACCCTTTTACTAAAACTGCTGATGGCACAAACCGCCATTACCTGTGCACCCCCCTAATACTTCTTCAGTCATCTGTAGACTGCAGGGCTGGCTACAGCAGCACGCTTGCTTATACCTTTACATGTGCTGCCGCCAATGGGGTTGGGGCGATCTGGCTGGCGCTGCACGCCAGGGCGAGGTGGCCCACGGTGGGAGGTAGAGAAGGCAGTCTTACTGACCTAGTATGAGCCACTCAAAGGCTGTCCTCATTTTCTAGGAGGAAACACACCCAAATGACCTGCATATGTTCCAGAGTGGGCAGCAGAGCGCATGCATGGCAAGTTTGGATGGTGAACGCACATTCTTGGAGTCTCGTTTTTTTTCTGTAAGGAGATCCACAGACTTCCTCTTTGTGTCTACACCCAACAGCACCTCTCAGTCTTCTTTTTATCATCATGTGAGAACAGCAGGCGTCTTGAGGTTGAGTCCTGATGTTATTCAGCTGCTTGACCCAGCTGGGAAAACTTTTTGTATCCTCGGGTGCCAAGGTCATGATATTCCCGTTGGGGCTGAGGCTGCTGTGGTCAGTGCTTATGCTGTTCTCCCCTCTCCTCTGCTCTCCCAGTCCTGGGTTGTGGTTTGACAAGAATGTGAGGAGCCCCTTGAGAGTCCATGACACAGTGCAGGCTCACAGCAGAAGTTTCTAATGAGGCGACAGTGGATGGTCTGACATCTCGGTGAGTGGACTCTTTCCTTACCCCAGTCCCAGGTTTTCTGTTTAAAGTCAAAGCCTTCATTATGTTGCTGAGACTCTTACCAGGTGTTTTAAAAACTACTTCTACAGAGGACTGTTTCTAACAGAGTTGAATGTCTATCCCATCCACAGAGATCTCTATTTTCTTATTACGGATTTTTGAGGTAGCCTGGGGAGGAGGATTGTGCCTTAAAAACTCCAGGCAGTCTTGAGGGGCTGTACAGCGCCAGCTCCCAGCGTCTTACTGAGCTGGGTTTGAATGCTGAGATGCTGTAAACCTGCTCTCTTCTTAAGGACTCAGGGCAACGCGGCCTCACCCCTGCAATGGGGATAACCGTCCTGTGCAGGACTGTAATGAGCGTGAAACCCAACAGTGTACATAGAGCACTTGGGGCGTGGCCTAACTATAACTGGGCAAACCACTTTTCTGAGACTGTTTCCTCTTCTTAAAGGGGAAAATGAGGCCGTGTGCCTTTTAGGGTAGTTGAGAGGATAAAATGAGTTGATGTGTATAATTATGCTATATACATACATTAAGGTTCAATTAGAGGAGACATGCACAGCGATCTTAATAACCCATTCTAGAGTTTAGCGCAAATGCATGGCAGCATGTTTTTTATTTGTAATTCTCTTTGTTACTTGATAGTGAACTCTCTCTAACTTCTCCATTGTTTATAGTACCCAAAATAGGAGATGGTCTTTACAAAAGAGAATTTCTCAGACTTAAATTCTGGAGAAGGGGCCAAGCACAGTGGCTCATGTCTGTAACCCAGCACTTTGGGAGGCAAAGGTGGGAGGATCACCTGAGGTCCAGAGTTTGAGACCAGCCTGGCCAACATGACGAAACCCCATCTCTACTAAAAATACAAAAATTAGCCAGATGTGATGGTGGGCATCTATAATCCCAGCACTTGGGAGGCTCAGGCAGGAGAATCGCTTAAACCCGGGACGTAGATGTTACAGTGAGCTGAGATCATGCCATTGTATTCCAGCCTGGGTGACAGAGTGAGACTCCATCTCAAAAAAAAAAAAAAAAAAAGGAAATTCTGGGGAAAGATTCTCTGTCCCTCACTACCCATTTTTAAAAATATATATTTATATCTTTATTATAAAAATAATGTCATTACAGAAATTCTGGACAAGAGAGAAGAAAAATTGCCCACAGTTCCATGAGTACAACTAAGAGTTTTTTTTTTTTTTTTCTGACTGCAAATCTGGTCATTAAAAATGTACGCATCTTACCTATCTTTAGATGTATATCTTCTATATCTTTATGTACATATATGACATGCCCACAATCATATAAAAATAGCCACCATTTCCCCTTTTCTAAGTGTTTTCCATGTTGCCGCATGTCTGTGGTATTAGTTGTCTCACAGAACTGAGAAGACCTCGTGCTGCCAGTTGGACGCGTTGTTAGTGTCAGCAAATGCGAGCAAGTTATTATTATGGTGGTCCCTGAGCATCTGCAGGGGACTGGTTCCTGGAACCCCAGGGATACCAAAACCATGGGTGCTCAAATCCCTGATATTAAATGGGATAGCAGGATTTGCATATAATCTCTGCACATCCTCCGGTGTACTTTGATCATCTCTAGGTTGCTTGTAATACCTAACACAATGTAAGGTGGTGTAGATGGCTGTTACCCTGTATTGTTTTTTCACTTGTATTGGTTTTTTTGGCCCCCATTTTTTTCCATGGACGGCTGGTTGAATCTGGATGGGGAAACTGTGGATCTGGAGGGCAGCTGCGTTTGACTTTTCTAACAGTTTTATGATTTCCTCAGGGATGCTCAGAGTGGATTCACCAGGTCAGGTGTGAATACTCCTGTGGCTCTCGATACCCGGCCTCACTGCTCTCCAAAAGCGCTGTTTTGGTTGACAGGACCCTTCACTGTTCATGAGGTTCACGGCTCCTCATGAGCACTTGGATTCCCTCTCCCCAAATTTTTCTTAGGTTTGGGGAGCTAATTTAGTAGCTAAAAGATGTTACTACCTCACCGTTGTGATTTTCGTTATTTAACAACTACCATTGTTGAGTTTGTTGTTGTATGTTTACTGGCAACATTCCTTCTTGGTTGGGTCTGTTTAAGACCTATTCTCTTTAACTGTTGGAATCACTTAACATTTTCTTATTGAATTACATGGGTTCTTTAATAAAGATATAAATCCTTTGTCATATGGACTGCACATATTTTTCCTGACTGTTCTCTTATTTTGGCTATGGGTTTTAAAAAAAAAATCCTACACGTGTAATGTGAACCATCTCCTGTTTGTGGCCGTCACAGTGAACTTTCTCACTATTCATGTCAGCTCTGATGGTTGCACCTGGACCCTCCCCTTCGTCACATAGACTCCTGATATAGTGGACACACATGTCTTCTATGGCAAGATGCAATTTATTCAGTCCCCAGGATTAAGTCTGAAATACACAGACTCTTCATAGACCCAGAGAGTGTTTTTCTCTTGATTTGGGAAATGAGGTGGACAGGAAAGGAGTTAACAAAATGATTTTGCTTGATTTTTATCTCAAGTTATTTTAGCTCATCGTGACTGGTGTACTCTAGACATTCTCCATCCTTTAGGACCAAAGGTGTCACTGCAAATACTTATTGACAAGAGTATGGTGCACTCATCATAAAGCCTCGGCCAAGTTCTCTGAACATCTCCCTCTCTCACCTACCCTGACCACCGCCTTCAGATTTTTTTTTTTTTTTTTTTTGGCAAGAAGACCCTTAGTCTTGGTGAGATTTGTAGATTAATGGTATGGGCTCTTCACATGGATGACAAAGCTGGCCAATCTGCCTTCTGCGAATCTGTGAAATCTAAACTTCTTTCCCTTCCAGAGGATGGGCACTCCCATCTGGCACTCTACCTTTTCACCCTGGGGAGCCTGGCATGTGAGTGCTTAGCATAGCAAGGTAGGTCTATATGGCAGCCTAGAGGCAGCCCCAGCCATGACTGAAAAAGGCATGTGAAGCCCCCCGACTGGATTTTAGGATAGGATAGAAATTACCCTGTATTCCTTTTCCTGGAGAAAGTGTGTTGTGTCTCTTATTAGGCTTATGAGCTGGACTGGCCATGTGGCTCTGGCACTGTCAAAAAGAAGTGGGTCCCTGGCATGGGAGTGATACCAGTGGGAAGCTGACAGGTCTGAAGCTTTCAATTGCATGTGTGTAGTAAGAAGAGCACTTCAATGAAAGGAAGAGCCTCAGAGTCAGTGCCAGGGTGCTTGCAAGTCCCTCTCATCTTTGACCTTCAATTGTCTTTTCTTCTTGGCTTCCTTTCCAACTCTGTACCTCCCCTCACTATGGAGTCCCATCCTTTCTAATCATCGAGATGTGCACTAAAATCTACATAAGAGAGCCCAGACAGCTGACGTATGAGGGGTAGCCCGGCTTTTGCATCCCTGTGACAGGATGATGACACACAAAGACATTACATTGGCTTCCAAGTCTAGATCTATAAATATATTTATTATAATATAACAAGAACTTAACAATAAACATATACTATGTACAATACCATTACAGAGAACCCTGTTTTATATCATTCACAGAAATAGCCAGTTTTGCTCCAGTGTGATAGATGAGGAGAGAAATGGAATTTCAATGTCATCTGTGTTGAGTCTCGCTGACCACTAGAACCTCCTTTGGAGGCAGACGCACACCAATGCTAACATTAGCCCTGCCCCAGGCAGTTAGGAATTTGTGCTCCAGTCCTTGGGTTCACACTTGCACCCTGTTTGACATAAATACTTTAAATGACATACAATGTATGTAGTTTTGTGCTTATTACTTTTTAAAATAATAAATAATATTAAAAACTGCATAACGAAGCTCGGTTTATCTCGTCCAAGTGGGAGCCACACTTGTAGTGCTAGAAGTTGATGCCCAACGTTAGAACTGGAATTTTGTGTCATCAAATGCTGAAAGATGGAAAGCGTGTCCTGTCTTTTTCTCTTATAAATGGTCGTTATCATGAAATGATGGCAAGTTGACTTCCCAGATATAAAAGTGGTAAATGTGTATTTGGTACCAACTTCGACTCAACAGCGCAGTGGTGGCGGCGGTGGCGGCAGCATTCTTCCTGCCCTGGAATGGAAACTGTTTACCGTGTGAGGTTTGGGGGGCTAAGGACTAGCGGGAGGGCCTTTCTCTTTTGAGCCACGGTGTGACCTCCCTCCTGGCTTCCCTTTTCTCAGGTTCGTATGTGACAAGAAGAGTGATTCTGCTCACGCCCTCGGGCCTTGGCTGTCATGGCTCGACTAAGAAGGCTGTCCCCATCCTGAGAGCTCTTGCGGCAGGTGCCTTAATATATAGCTATGAATATCAAAAATAGTCTCCTGTGCTTTATAGATGCTTATTCTCCCTCCTTCCCTTCCCACTGGCCTGGGTCCTCAGCTTGACCTCATGGAGGGAGCTGGGCCGCTGTCCAGAGCCAGAAGTGGGCTCCTTCTAGAACAGACTCTTCTTCCTTGGGTAATGCCTCCACGAGGCACAGCTTTTATGGGGCTGTCTGGGAGTTACTTTTTCTAAAAATAAAATGGGGGCATTGCCCACCCCAGGAGAGATCCTCTATTCTGCACATAGAAAAATGAGAGCAAATGCCCCCCTCTGGCACTACCTACAAAGAGCTTTGGGAATTCCCACATTATCCCTCTTGTGGCCTCCTCCTCTCAGTACTTAAAAATAGCCTTTTTGTTTATCAAGAAAATGCCTCAGAAATCTAAATAATTCATACTGGGTAAGAGAAAGCTAGCGCAATCACTTTGTCCTTCTCCAGCAAAAACACAGTAGAAAAACCTGTGAAGGACGGACAGCTGTGCCTGCTCCCCGGCTGTCCTGTGGCTGCCACCCCTTGCTCAGCGTGGGCAGCTGGGCTTCTCTTCCGCCCCGGTGGGGACCGGCAGCCTCCTAGGCCTTGTGATGCACAGTATTGTCCCTTGTTTTCTGTCGGCCACTGAACGTGTAGATTGGTTAAAAAACAAAAGTAGGAATCAAAGTGATAAGGACACTTTGATCTTATTCCAAGAGAGCCTGATGCCTAGTGCTGTCATAAGATAACAGATCTATGGTTGTTTAGGGATCAAGCTTACTCTGCAGGAAGGAAAAAAACAGCTTCTGTCTCCCAGTTGAAAAATACGTGAAACTATTGCACCTGGCAGAGCGAGCACCCCCATTCAGAGCGAACACCAGTGCAGGAGGCAGCCAGCCCGGCGGCGGGGTCGTGGTTTCTGCTGCTCTGAGCGCGATGCCACTGTCTCACCCAAAGGCGAGGATGATTTCCTACATTCAATGTAGAGCGTATTCAACATGTTGAACGCAGTGAGTTCCTTGATTGTGTTTTGTTGGCTTCTTGTTGGTGTCGCTGGAAAATTATCATTGTGTGGCACTTGCCTCACCAGACTTGTCCACAGTCTTGTTGTGGGCTTTCTACTGACGTCAGCCGCTTTGGATGTATTTCTTGATCACAACGCAGCCGTGTCTGAACACGGGGCAGGGCATGTGGGGGAGGAGGGTCCATGTATTGGTTGTGGGCTCGTAGGCTTCCATGTTGCCCAGCGCGGGCCCCTCACTGCTGACAATGCCTCCAGTTGCATAAATCTTGCCATCAAGCACCACGGCACTGTTGGGGGAAAGCGGGGACAGAATTAGGCATTTTACTTCCAACCTGGCCCTGGAGATAGGTTCTCAACATCATGTCCTGTGGTAGGCTGCCTGTACCTTTTGCAAAAGTCATCTGGGATCTTGCTGCCCTTCTTTGCCCTCTGACTTGGGCTGGCATAAGAAAAACTCCAGGGCCAGTCAGGACACTGTGCTATGACACCCTGTGAGCAGCAGAAGGCACTCCCTCCCTGCCTCACCAGAGTGACTAACCATGGCTGTGAGAGGAAAGATCTCTGTGCGGGCACTCGGCTCAGGTGACTGAGGCTTTCTGGAGACTCTTTTGTTGTATGGCACACGCAGCCTTCCTATGGCTCAATCAAATTGGGAACATGACTCACAAGAATGATGGGAGATAATAAGGAGGTCAACTGGAATTGAACGTCAGCCACTGGACTGGGAGATCTACCTGCCAAGGTGCTCCCATGTGACCTGGTGCTGCTGCCCACCCAGGATTGCAAGGGCTGGGCATGCTCTGCAGGGTGACTGCTGGCTGTGCCTGGACCCCTTCCCTATGTGACACTCACTGGCTAGGTCCTGTTGTCTTGGTCACTTCCTCTCGTCATGAGGGTTCAGCATCTGGCCCCTCTCCGCACTTACTCCCTTAAAGCGTTTCAGCTACCTGACGTCCACATCCTTGTTTCTAGTCCTGACTCTTTTGTTTTAGTTAATGGCCATTTTTTCCTGGCTATTCCCTGACATTGGACACATACCTTTTCAAAGGCTCCACTGTTTCTGAAATGTCTTAAACAGAACACATCAGTCTGGACTTCTTACCAGACCCTGAAGCTTCCAGTCTTCTCCCTTAATTCCATGCCACCTGGGGCCCTCATATTTTCCTTCTGTGGTGTACTTATGCCCTGATTCCCTTGCAAGACCCAGCTTAACTCTCCATTTGCCATTAGGTCTTTCCCATTCATTTCTTTCTTTCTTTCTTTTTTGAGACAGAGTTTCGCTCTTGTTGCCTATACTGGAGTGCAATGGCGTGATCTCACTGCAACCTGCACCTCCTGGGTTCAAGCGATTCTCCTGCCTCAGTCTCCCGGGTAGCTGGGATTACAGGCATGTGCTACCACGCCCAGCTAATTTTTTTATTTTTAGTAGAGATGGAGTTTCACCATGTTGGCCAGGCTGGTCTCAAACTCCTTATCTCAAGTGATCCACCGCATCGGCCTCCCAAAGTGCTGGGATTACAGGTGTGAGCCACTGCGCCTGGCCGTGGGGCTCCTTCTTATTCTGTTCCTCTTAGTCCAGGAAAGGATGGAGCTGGAAGAGCAGGGACTGGTATCTCACTGCCGCAGGCCAGGAGGCCTGGAAACCGAGCCGCCCTCGGCCCTCTACCTTCTCTTCCTGCAGAGGCAGGTATGTGTGCGTGCTTTTTCCAGTCAGCCTTTGAGACTCGTTGTTGTGCAGCTGAGCCCCGAGCATAGCTCCCAAGGCCATCAGGATCATTCATGCCCTCAGAGCATTCCCCCAAGAGGTCACTTGTCTCAGTAGGGTATCGCACAGCTCTGGCCTGGCACCGCTTTCCATCTGCGATGGGGCAGGTGGTCCTGGGGGAAGCTGTCCTCACCTCACTGAGAGCAGGGTAGCCTTGACGCCCTCGGGAAATGCTTTATTTTTGCTGGAGCTGGGGTCAGCTGGAGTCCCGGGGTTGGGTTCCTGGGCTAGAGGCTGCTGTGGGCTGCTGTACCCTACCGGTCTGGGCTAACACCCACTCCTGTGATTGGAGGGGGAAGGCCACTGCTCTGGGCCTGGAGATCACTGAATGGCGGGAAATCACTGTGGTCACACCCCTCCTCCCGCTCCTCCGTCCCAGCCCTAGCCAAGGTGCTGCAGCCTCTCACCTGCAGAACTGGCGAGAGTGGTTCATGTTTGGGCCCGCCTTAATGTTTCCTTTCTCAGGGTCGTAGATGGTGGTGGCTCTGGCATAAGCCCCGCCCAGGATGAAAACGAAGCCATTGAGGGTGACAGCGGGGGCATACTTGTTGTCTGTGAGGAGAGCAGAGCAGGCAGGTCACGGCATCTTGTCTCGGACTTCCCTCTCCTTTCCTTTCCCAGCAGACCCTCCAGGGAAGGAAGCTGGAAAGACTTCTAAGAAGGGAGGGATTGGCCTGAAGACAGGCCTGGGACCTAGGGGAACCTGGAGCCTTCTCCAGGCACGTGAGCTGGGGGCTCAGCAACTCCTGCCCCCCTCCGGAGCTGTTGGGCTTAGCCTGACTTCTGGGGATGGGATACTGAACAAATCAGCGAGGCAGGGGTGCGGCCCTGGCCCTCGGCTGAGGACACCACCAGTTCTCACCAATCATTGGGGACTCGATGAAGCTCCACGTGTTGGTCTGAGGAATGTAAGACTGGAGGACGCCCGCAGCTCGGCCTGCCTCATTCACCCCACCAAACACATAGATCTTTCCGCCACACACTGTGGCTGCGGCAGAGTGCACTGCCTTGGGCAGAGGGGCCACTGCCTCCCATTGGTTGGTGATGGTGTCGTACCTGCAGGAGAGGAGACAAAGAGCCCAGGGTCAAGATGGACCTTGTGCAGGGCAGAGGCCACAGCAAGAGCAGCACACTACCATCTGGTCCTTGCCCTCAGCATGGCCAGCATAGCCTGAGATCACACAGTGGGGGACACTGCCGTGAGACACTCAAGGCCTCCTAGGGTCTGGTCCAGACTAGCCCTCAGCCTTCCTCTGGAACGTCAGTGGGCTCTTTCTGCCTGTGGCAGCCACTGTGCAGAATTCCTGTCTCCTTCCCTTCGCTCACGCAGTGCTCCCCTCTCTATCTAGCTCAATCTTGCCCTTGCATTCGGCAGTGCTGGACTGAGCATTTGCTTTATAGCCAGGCCCTGGGCTGCAAACTGGAGAAATGCACTAGATGAAGCACCATTCCTCGAGGAGGCTATGACTGCTTGGGAAAGGCAGCCAAAGAGAACACACAAAGAACAATTACACGCAGGATGCTGGGTGGGCTGAAGGCGAGAAACCCAAGGTGCACACGGTGGCGGCACCAGCAGCTCCAGTAGGTGCCGATACTCAGGCTGGGCCTTGAAGGGTGAATAGGCCACTAGCTAGGTGGACAGGAGGCGGGAATGAGTGGGAACAGGTGAAGGGAGGACAGTGGCAAAGGTGGCATTTAGGGAGAATTTAGAACGCAGGCAGTCCCCAACTTAATGATTTTTTCAGTTTATGATGGTGCAAAACGATTGGCATTTTCATGTAATGTGTAGTGTTCAATAAAATACATGAGATATTTGACATTTTATTATAAAACAGGCTTTGTGTTAGATGCTTTTGCCCAACTGTAGGCTAATGTAAGTGTTCAGAGCATGTTTAAGATAAGCCGGGTAAACCATGATGTTCAGTAGGGCAGGCATATTAAATGCATTTCTGACTTAGAATATTTTCAGCGTATAATGAGTTCATCAGGACATAACCCCATTGTCCATCAAGGTGCTTCTGTAGTATGGAATGGCTGGAAGTGGGGGGTAGTTAAAAAGGGCCATGTGTGTCAAGCTAATGGAGTTGGGCTTTATCTAGAGTGCAGCGGGGAAGTCCTGAAGGTTTGTTTGTTTGAGACAGGGTCTTTCTCTGTTGCCCAGGCTAGAATGCAGTAACATGATCACGGCTCATTGCAGCCTTGCTCTTCTGGGCTTAAGCAATTCTCTTACCTTAGCCTCCTGAGTAGCTGGGACTATAGGTGTGTACCATCATGCCTGGCTAATTTTTCGATTTTTCCTAGAGATGAGGTCTCCCTGTGTTGCCCAGGCTGGTCTTGAACCCCTGAGCTTAAGCAGTCCTCCCACCTTGGCCTCCTAAAGTGCTGGGATTACAGGTGTGAGCCACAGTGCCTGGCTGCCCTAAAGGTTTTAAGCAGGGAAATAATGTGAACGAATTTGGCCTCTGGAGAGATCACTGTGTCTGCAGGGTGGAGTATGTCCTGGAGTGAGGAGGTCAGAAGCAGGGAGACTAGTTAGGTGAGACTAGTCTGCGCAAGAAACTTGGAGAGACGCAACAGTGGCTTGGACCAAGGAATGATAAGAGTATGAGGACATGGGAGCAGAGGAGGTGGAATGGGTGTGTTTGCTCATTGATGAGACGCTGGCGCTAAGGGAATAGTTGCCAAGGATGGCCCAGGGTCTGGCTTGGGAGGCTGGCTGGTGGTGACACTGCTGGTGGTGACACTGCTGGTGGGATGGGGAGGTTGGGGGAGGAGGGTGATTTCCGTTTTTTTCACAGGAAGTTTAAAGTATTTGTGGGCAACAGATAGGGGATGTGCAGCAGACAGTCACATATTTGGGTGTGGATGAAATAGCCAGCTGTGCGATCTCTGGCACAGCTGGAAATGGAAGCTCAGGAATGTGCTGGGGAGATGTGTACTGCGTGGGGGCTAAGGACAAATTGGGGACATGTGGCCTTTAGGAGGGGAGCTGAGAGGCATCCTGGGAGGGCAGCCAGGGTCCCAACAGCGAGTGAATGGCTGTGTCACTGAAGGCGAGGGCTTCAAGGATGGAGGATGGAATCTCTAGCAGGCCACTGCTCTATAGTCAAGGGCACTTCAGTTAAAACAAGAGGCGCAGAAGCCAATTGTGTCAGTGGAGACTGCAGGTGTATGTAGACTTCTTTTGGAAGAAACTTAACTGTGAAGTGGCACAGAGGGTAGGGCCTAGAAAAGAATCCAGAGCTGAGAGGGGTCAATGGAATGCTGATGAATGTTTAACAACCAGTTCTCTAGGGAAAAAGTTATGGTTTGTAGCATTTGCTGATTTCTGCGATATCACTCCTCCCATTTGGCTGATTTCAAGCTGCCATTGGGATGTTGCCGAACATGGAGTTGGAAAGAGAAGTGCTGTGGCTACCATTCTCCGGAATCTCCTCCCTGGAGAGATGCGTTGGGCATAGATAACCTCAGGGCCCAAGACAGTAGTAAAAATTAGGAAGTGGTGAGTTTTGAGCATGGATTACCTTTGTTTTTAATACTGTGTATATAATTTAATTTTTAGCAATTAAAAATTGTTAAATTTTTAGCAATTAAAAATTGTTAAATTTTTGTGTTAACAACTGGCTTACAGAAACTTTAACAACTGTACAAATTGTAAAGTCTGTAATTTTAACATTCAGATCTCACATGCCAGCACACAATGGGTTTTGTTTTACTTTTGGAGGGGAATGTTTAATTTTGTTTACATGCTGATAGGAAGGAGTCCAGCTGGATAAGGAAAGATTAAATGTATATGAAAGAGAGGGGAGAGCTGATGCTGGAAGGCTTCCAGGAAGTGGATGAATGGAATCCAAAGTGTGGAGGGAACATGGAGTCCATTTGTACAGGAGAGGAAGGCAAAGATGGCGTGAGTGTAGCCATATTTGTGGGAGTGACGGCAGGAAGGCAAGTAAGTTCTTGACTGATGGCTCCATTTTGTTTGTGAAGCAGGAGTCAGAGTTGACAAAGTCGTGGGGAGTCTGTGGGGTCAGATCTGTAGGGTCAGATCTACCGCTGATGAGGGAAACCCAGAAAGACTGCCTCGCAGCGGGAAGGGCCTGGTAAGGGACGGGCCTTCCCTTCCTGTGGGGTGGGGCCCGTGTGTTGGGTGAGAGTTCCTCCATCGCATTCAGTCCCCAGGGCTGGGCGCAAATGGTTGGGTGGAGCAGATGTTCTGGTGTGGGGTGCAGGACAAAGCAGCAGAGGAAGAGGATGAAATGACAGAACATGAGTTCCAGACAGGACAGTGGAGAGGGACAACAGGAGGCAGCTGTGGGAAAAGCAGACTTGGGGCTCAGCAGCCTGGGTCACTGGGATATTTGAGGTCTTCTTCACAGGACAGCTGGAGTATCGGTCTTCAGTGTTTCTGTCGGTTCCTCGGGGGCTGCTCTCCTAACTCCAGTTGCCTCCACGCTTACTCAGGCCCTCCCAGTGGGGGACACGTCTACCGCTCAACACACTGCTCACTGTGAGTGCCTGAATGCAAAGTGAGGTCTGGGCGCCGCGTGCTGTGCGGCCAGGGTTGGGTCTGTCCCCACCATATCTTCCCTGGGAAGCACATAGGGCCCGCTTGCTTTCTGTGAGCCTCCTTGGGGCACAAGCCATAACTGGGTCACAGCCCAGAGCCCCAGGAAGCTGGCCTCCCCAGCCCGTGCCTCTGCCTCCGAGTGAGGGTGATGTGACGTTCAGCTCTGTGCTTGGATTTGAGAAGAAGCTGGAATGTCTTAAAGGGCAGCAGCGGGCTGATTCAATTAAGCCCCAGATGAATAATATGTGGCTTATATGAAATGGAGTAAGTGTCTTTTTGGACAGTGTCAGAAGTTCAGATATCTGTTTTTTAAGCCAATATGGCAGGGATCCAAAGAGCTCCTGCAGAAGGAGCTGGGAGACAGTGGAAGATTATGTGGCTGTTAGTCCTCAGTCTTTCAGTATGATGGCACATCGCACCAAATGTGAATTTCCTGAGAGTTTGTTATTCCAGGTGGCTGATTGCCAAGCCATGAGCCCTCCCGTCAGCTCAATCTGTCAGCTTGCTGCTTGAGAAGGATATGCTAATGACATGCAAATGACCCCCGCCGACTGAGGCACTCTGCTATCATTTATCCAGTAACCACAGCTATTGCAATATATTGCTATAAAATATTAGATCCAGTTATTTATATAATGATATGATACAGGTTTGTCTATTGCACTGTCTTAATCTATAATTATATGATCTTGCTCTATTTCTGTAATACCGTAATGTAATATAATTATAATGCACCATATATCTCATTCATTATCAATATAATAGCCATTTGTACCATTAGCGCTTCCTGGGGAACAAAGCACCCTCATGTCTGTCCCCATTACCCTGACCTTCCTGTCACCCTGAATTCTCGTCATTGTCACTGTGCGGCACAGATAGCAACTTACCCGAAGGGGGTCCAGCTATGCTTCTTGGAAAGCAGTGGGCGTTCCTTCCCCTGCACCCTCCAACCCACTTGCACGCACACTGCCCAGGGGTCTTCAAGCCTGTATCCTGTCCCTACAAGGACAGCTGGCAGAGTCTGGTGGGCTGAGGAAGGGCTCAGGGCCCCTCAGGGTACCCTTTTGTCCTGGACTGCTCCTTCATCTCTTGGGTTCCTAGGGTGGTCTCGCTCACACTGTGCCCATGCTGCCCTTTCACAGCCAGAAGGAGGGCCTAGCCCCCCAGGAAAGGCCCATCCATGCAACCCCTGGGTCTTGGAAAACAGCCTCAGGGCCCTGGAAGAGCGGCGCTTGTCTTGCTGCTTAGTGGGTGCATTTGATCCTTGAACAAATCCCTATATTTATCAACAAGCATAAGTTTGCAAAATGAGTAATCAGTGTCTTAGGAGATTAAAAATAGCTGACAAAAGTAAGACAGAATGACGGATCTAGCTCAGTTTACTCCTACAGAGAAAATGTCTCCTTTTTCATGTGGTTATCGGATGACAAATGATCAGAAGCAGATGCTTCCAGAATGCTTGGGGCATGCACAGCTGGGCAGTGGGTCACTCTGAAGGCCGCCAGTACCAGGGCCAACCCAGGCCCAGGAACAGTGCTAAGGTCCTCATCATCACGCGGGAATGCCCATGATTGCCAGATCAACATGACAATCAAATGCTGTTACTGAGCCATCTCTGGGCTCCACTTGGGGGAGTTAAAAGCCCACAGTGAGTGTTCAGAGCCTGTCACTCTGCAACCATCTTTGCTGTAACATTTGTCAAGTGTCCAATTAGCCACCAAGGGGGAAAAATACAAATTGAGGGGTACGTGTTGCTTCACAGGCAACATGATGTCCCATGGGAATATGTGCTTTCTGGTGGCACATGGCAGTGGGGGTGGGGGGGTGGGGGGGGCTCAGGTGCAGGAGGGGCTCTGGCGATCTTAGCTGCCTCCCCTGGGCTGTGCTTTGGGCCAGGTCAGCCTGATGCGTTATCTTCCAGGCACTAGTTTCTCCAACAGCAGGACTAAGCCCCCTTTCTGCTGCCTGAGGAAGCTTCCTGAGTGCTTCCTCTAGGTCCGTTCTCTGTACAAACAGTCTCCCTGGCTCAAGGGAAAAGGATTTTGTGTTCTTACTCAGAAGCAGCCTCTTCAGCCCATGCCCCTCATGCCTGTCTCTGAGCCTCCACGATGGCCTCGGGAGGAAGCCAGCCTGGGACTCCCAGCCGACGGCAGGTTCACACAGGTGGTCCTTTGGCTTATTTTTTCTTCTGGAAAGTTCTAGAGGGTGGGCAAGCATGTTCTCCCTAAATTGCTTAGTTTGTGTGCAGTGGCCCTTCCCTGTGTAACGAACAGATGTCCTAGATGTCCTGGTGTGTGTGGCTGGAGGGAGGAAGGGAGCTCCCTGATGAGGTACCTCCGCTTGGCAGGACAAGGATGCCCTGCTGCCGGCACGACCCGCATTTTAAACATTGCTTCCAGCTTTGCGCAAAACCCCAGCAGTCTCTGGGCTGGTACTCACGGTGCAGGGTGTTCACTGACTGCCTGGCCAGGAGGGTCTGGCTCCTCTCGGGCCTCCCGCAACCGGATCTTGGGCCTCCGGCTTGTCTGACACCTAAATGGGTGTCAGGATGGAAGCACCCCATCTCCCATCTCAGCGACTGCCAAGGTGACACAGATGCCATCCCACCTGCTTCTACCCCACACCCTGGTGCCCCCGGTGCTGTGACTGAAGAGCCTGGGATGACCGCCCTTATGAATGGTCCAGGCTCTGCTCCTTCGCCACTGAGTGGGTGTCGTCTGTTCTTGGCGCACATAAGAGCATGCCCCTGTCCTGAACATGGCCTCATTACCTCTCCACGTGGTCCACGTTGCCTGCCACGCCAAGTCCTCCGAGGGTGTAAATCTTCCCATCATAGACGAGGCTGTTGTGCCGACAGCGGGGCACTGTCATTCTGGAGACGAGGTTCCAGTTATCGAGCAGGGACATGTAGCACCAGACATCGGCCAGCGTCACCCCTGATTCCATCCCACCTGGAGGCAGTGTGGGAGGCAGAGAGAGCAGGCAGGGTGAGGAGGGGCCCGGGGTCAGCAGGCGCAGCCCCAGGGGCAGAGGAGGCCTTCACCTGCAAAGCTAACACTAACGGGCCGTGGCCTTCCTCAGCTCTGAGGTGGGGAGCAGGCCCCTCGGGATCCCCATGCCCTGTCCTGCCCCAGCGCCGGGGGGCCTCACCTGAGAGGTAGATGTTGTCCCCGGCACTCACTACACTGAAGAACTCGCGGTCGTAGAAAGGCAGCGAGGCCAAGGGGTACCACTTGTTGTTCTGCGGGTTCCAGCAGGTGACAGCCACCAGTGAGCGCTGGGTCATCCCCACCATCTGACGGCCCCCAACCAAGACGATGACCTCAGCCACACCTGCAGGGACACAGATGGGCGTCCTTGGGACACACCCTAAGACTGTCAGCATCTGTGCCTGGCACCTCGCTGGGACCACTGAGCCCAGGACGCCGCTTCTGGGAGGTGGGGGGTGTGCCCTTCCATACCTGCGGAGAGGCGCGGCCGGGTTCGGGGCGTCTGCATCTCCTGGCGAGCATGGGGCAGCATATGGTAGCGTTTGGCCTCGTTCACCAGGTCCCGGCAGGCTTCTGATGACTTGATCAGCTCTTCATTGTCAACCACGTTGAGCAGGTAGCTGGGGTGGATGAAGGGGAGGCGGACCACAGCCAGGAGCTCAGCAGCATACTGCAGGGTAAAGGGGACAGGGAATCTTCTTAGACTAGCAAGAGGGAGCCACCTTCTGGAAGGAAAGAAATGGTGTGGGGCTGCACAAGAATGGAGAATTCTAGGCTGCGTCGGGCTTGGGAATGTAGCTGCTCTGCTCTGCCAGCCTAGACAGAGGCAACGGGAGGTCTGGTCAGCTGGAGGTGTGGAGGGGAAGTGGGGAGCGTAGGGGTTGGGAGGGGAGGCTGGCAGCCTGCAGTCAGCCCTGTGGCAGATCAGGATATTGGGGGTGGGGGCGGGGGGGTTAAAATGAGGAAGACATGATTATTAAGGAGCTATGAGTGTGGCGGGGACCAAGGAACAGGTGGGAGGACCCAGGAAAGCTTCAAGGAGATGGCGATTGTGAAGCTTGCAAGTCCCAGCCATGGGAGCCAGCATCTCCCCAGCACCAATAACTCTTTCAGTGGTGCTCCATGTCCCATGGCCTGAAACTGTCACCCTGCAGAGGAGGTTTCACAGGCTCACTTGACTCTCCCCTCCTAGCAAACTCTGCTGATCACTCTACTTTCATTTCATCCCATGAGTAAGTGGTAACCATCGGAGGCCAGGCACGAAGCTCATCACTGTGGGTGCAAAGACCAATGTGACCTGGTCTCTGACGTCAAGGGGTACACAGTTTAATGGGAGGGGATCTGCTACCAAAAATGCACGGGGGGCAAGAGGAGGGTCTAGTGAGGGCTTGTAGTGGGTGCAGGAGTAAGAGGTTTTGCTTGCAGAGGGCATGGCATCTGGATGGGGCATGCAAATGGGCAGACTTCTGCCAGGCACAGGGTCGGGGGGAGGGCAGACATTCGAAGCCCGTGTAGAGGTGTTGGAGAGTGACAGAGAATGGACTTGTATGGGGTTTATTCTTATTAGATGCAACAGGATTTTGTTGAGGAGGCGTCTGGGGAGACAGGGAGAAGTGAGGGAAGAGAGGCTGGGGAGGCCAGGCCATGCTCAACAAGGACCGCACAGTTTCCCCTGCGGAGTCGATGAGGCAACTGACGAGGGGTTGAGTGGAGGGATGAGGCGTTCAGGGTGCTTTCAGAAACACCGCTCAGGCGGGAGGGTGGAAAATGGATTTGGAGGGAGCAAGACAGAGGCAGGGAAACCACTTCAGAGTCGCTGCAGTCATCCTGGCGAGATGCCGGTCTCAATGGGGAGAGGGAAGTTGATTCGCTTAAAGGAGAGGAAGGAGGCGGGAGTGAGTGTGGTGTAGCCAAATGGCTGTGGAAGACGGGGGAGGAGGCTAGGCTTTGGTTTTGGGGAGCAGGCATGGCTGAACTAAGGAGCACAGGAAGAGGTGTAGGCTTTGGGCTTGGTGAATTAGGAGAATCTGTGGACATCCTGTTGGAGAGGCCCAGAAGGCCACTGAGCAGAGGGGTCGGAAGCTCAGGAGAGAGTTCTGGGTCTGAGACACAGATCTGGGAGTCAAAGAGAATTGTGGCAGTCACAGTTATTAGATGCCCCATCGAACTTCCTACCTCTGAGAATAAACCCTGCTTCCCCACCTGATCAGTCTGAGGACCCCTTTCTCTGGGCTCAGCGGCTGGGTCCAGGGCAGGGGCGCTCTCTGCATCCTCTCTTTACCCAACACAGGACCTCACACCCTTCGGCTTCCTGAGTGCAGAGGTTTCCATCTGGCCCATCGGGGGCTACCTGTCCCCTCAACAACCAGAGCAGGGGCAGACTCCTCCTGCTGGGCCCGTGCTCCTGGGAGCCCCAGAGTCCCCTGGCTCAGGCACCCACCTCACCGTGCAGAGCGCAGGTGCTGCGGCTCTTGGCTGACTTGGATCTCCTTTGGGGTGGAATGCCAGCCCTCGAGGATGCTTTGGCGACTGGTTTCTCATCTCTATGCCCTCCCTTCACCTCTCTGCTGCTCAGGGGGAGCAGGACAAGCCTCCCACACCTCCCTTCATCCTTGCTGCAGATCCCATTGCCTCAGGGGGACCCCAAACCCAGAGAGAAGGGGTGGGGGCGGGCCAGGCCCCACCTGTGTGCGTGTCGCGGGGTCCTTCTTGATCCACTTGATGACCGTCTCGTACACCAGCTCCTCGGCCTTGGTGTTGAGGCTGTCGTTGGAGACGTAGGCAATGAAGTCGTCCTTGGAGATGCTGAGGATCTCCTCCTGGGCAGCCACCTCGGGGAAGATCTGCAGCGCGAAGGCCTTGGCCATGTGGTAGAGCTCGCTGCACTGCATGGCCTCAGCCATGGCCAGCACGCCCAGGCAGTTGCTGGCCGTCAGCTGCTTCTCTGAGGGTGAGAGCACAGGACCACTGACCCAAGGGCCCTGGAAGCAGTTGCCACCTGTTTCCATTGCTGTCACCCTGGATCCCTCTCTGAGCCCACATCCTGGGGACCCTACCTCCAGCATCCAGAGTCCCTGCAGGTCCCCTTCCTGCGTGTCTGGAGCCTTCGATCCTTCTCCCGGGTTCTCCCCTATCCCATCTTATGCTGACTTCGGGGGCCTCCCTCTGAGTGCACAGGTCCTGACAGAAGGACTGAGACTGGGAGGCCTGAAGTGCGCGATCCCTGCTTGGAGCCTGGGCCTGGGCTGGGGTCAGGAGTCACACTGTCGCTGAGGTCGAGGGTGGCACTGAGGCTTACAGCATCTTCCAGGAGGTGCCAGGCATGTCTGCGGCCCCAGACGCCTTCACTCAGCTGTGTCAGCAGTAGCACCCCTTGCACACCTCCCAGCTTCTTGCACAGTCTTCTGCTGCACCCAATGGGACCCACTGGGTTCTGGGGTCCTCCTGGCCAGCTCTCCTGGGCTTAGTGGCTAGGTTCAGAGTGGGAGCCATCTCTGTATCCTGTTTACCCAATACAGTCCCTCCCAGGGCCTCACACTCTTCCCACTTCATGCTGGTGGTTCTTCCAGCCCAGATGTGTCTGGGTTCTTGGAGGCCCATCCGTGGGCAAACCTAACTGTCGCCATGGCTCCCGGCACTTCCAGAATGCTCGGTGCTCCTCTGTCCTCACAGATCTGCCCATGTCTAGGCTGAGCGCTGGCTTTCTCTCTGCACTCCACACCCTAGCCCACTGGTTCTTTTTTTTAGTTTTGAGATGGAGCCTCGCTCTGTCTCCTGGGGTTGGAGTGCAGTGGCACAATCCCAGCTCACTGCAACCTCCGCCTCCGGGGTTCAAGTGATTCTCCTGCCTCAGCCTCCTGAGTAGCTGGGACTACAGGCGTGCATCACCATGTCCAGCTTATTTATATATTTTTAGTAGAGGTGGGGTTTCCCCATGTTGGCCAGGCTGGTCTCAAACTCCTGACCTCAGGTGATCCACCTCCTCAGCCTCCCAAAGTGTTGGGATTACAGGCGTGAGCCACCATGCCTGGCCACCACTGGCTCTTTGGGGGCTTTCATCTCTGTCCCTCCCTCACCTTGCTGTCGCCACGTGGGGAAACATCAAGTGTAAAGGCAGAATGTTGTTTGGGTCAGGGACCCCCTGGGAACTCCTGATACTCAGTCCCCATCCTGGGCAGCAGATCTGGGTACTCAAGGGACAGGTCAGGTGTCTAGACCTGTGAAGGCATCTGGAGCGGCCCAGGTATGAATAAAGCGAAGGGAAACAAAGTTTGAGCTGCGCTGTTTGGGTCTAGAAAACGGGGCTGTGAGGCCAAGGCCATGGGCTCTCCCCACAAGCAGAGCACGTGCACAGGCCTCATGGTGCCATTTGTTCTCACGAGGCCTGGAGGGGCACAGTGCGACTCTTCCACCTACAGAGAAATGACATGGAGTCCCCTTCATTCCATGCCAGGGAAAGAGGGCCTTTGCAGGTGGTTATCTGAATTACCCTCTTAAAATAGCCCTGCCAAACCCAGCCACATGAGAGGGAGCTTTGGCTGTGCACACACAGCCCTCCCCGCTCTGTCCTTGCTGTTTCGAGTTCTCTGCCCGTTTGCACTCTTTCCCCCAAGTGACACACGTGGCCCCCGGGCTCACCGAGAAAGGACACGCAGACTTTGCAGAAGGTGTGGAACTGGAACTTGCTGGCCGCCTCCAGCAGGGTCTTGGCATTGGCCGAGTCGATGACCAGGGAGCCAGTGTAGACAAACTCCAGCAGCAACTCCAGGACATCCGCCTGCAGGTTCGACAGGACCAGCTCCAGCTTCTCCCGGCCACCCTGGCCACTGTCTTGCACGGACCTAGGCACAGAGACCAGGGCGTCCTTACCCGCCGCCCCGCGGCCACCGTGCCGCTTCCTCACAGGGCTAGGTCTCCCTGCACACCTTGATCACGCCCTTGGTTTTAGGACTTAAAGGACACAGCAATGACACACCTGAACCTAACGCTCTGACACGGGATCTGAAAGAGAAGAGTCTGACCAGAGACGCCCAAAAGAACAGAAAACCCTGCTTATCACTACTCGGCATGTCCATGCAAAAAAAGATGCAAATCAAAAAGCATGAGCCATGGATGGGGACGAGGACCAGGACTGGCCTCAAAGGGAAACAATACGGTTCCGCCCACTGCTGGCCCTGGCATCTCCGCCAAAACAGACCAACACGTCCCAGCCCAGTCCCGCCTGCCTTGGGTGGCAGATTCTCCAAGGTGACCGAGGCTTGGGAGGCCCCCAACTGGCTGTGATCCCAGCCAATCCAGAGATATGCTCTGATCTCCCCAAGACTGAGGGCCCCAAGTTGTCCCAGAACCCCCTCCAACCCCACCTCTTACCAAAAACATATTGTTTCCTTTTAGGCATGGGAAGGAAGCCCTTCATGACATTGCTTTGAAACTGACAAGACAAGATAGACAGACAGAATGGTCAGAGCCAGGAGGAGGGGAGAGGAAACAACCAAGGACTTCCGCCACAGACAGCCAGCAGCCATGACCTGGGACCTGGCCCGGGGCGGGGCCCTCCTGCCACATGGAACACGGGGTCAGAGGTCAGAGTGGCCTGTGTGTAGAGTGTGCATCGGGCTTGGGAACTGGGGGGAGCAGGGGAGGGACACAAATATATCAATCTGTTTATATCTGGTGTCTACAGGAATACAAAACCATTGCAAAGGCTCCTAAGGCCTGGCAGCTGCCCCTAAAGCTGGACCTGGAAGGAAACAGATAAGATGAAGCAAGAGTGACACTGATACAGAAGTGACGGCAGGAGGAAAAACACACGGCGCGTTGGGAGTCTGGAGGCGGTTTCTCAGGCCTCGGCTTGGCCGCCCCATCCTGGCTGCTCCAACCAGCCCTGCTTCCCGCCCTGAGCCCAGGTCCTGCCTGGGGCTGGGCTCGGCCACATGTCTGGGAAAAGACCTCTGTGGTCCACTCACTCACTTCCGAGGAGGCCACAGGGCAAGATGTTTGTGACGGTTCTCTTGCGTGCATCTGCGGCTGGTGGTGGGGCTGTCAAGGTGTCCAGCAAGCAAGCAGGCTGGCCGTAGAGAGGCCGGCTGCCAGATGGGTGGGTGGGTGGGCGGGCGGAAAGAGCATGGGGCAGGGAGCTGGCGGGGGCTGGGTGCCCGGGCTCTGCCACCCACAGGTGGGCAGCCTTGGCCTCCCGGGCCCTCAGCCTCCTCTTCTGCAAAACAAGAGGGTGGAACTAGATGAGGTCTGAATTCCCATGGAGATTTTATGTGACAGAGGCTGCAAAATGCCTTTCCCATGAGATTCTTCTCTACGTGGCAGTACCTGAAATTCCACCATTAGAGCGACATTCTCTCAGGTTAGGCACTGGCCTCCCAGGGCCTCTGAAGCACTGTCATGGCCAGGAGGAGGGTGGGTGGCACTGTGATCCGGCTGCCCAGCTGGCGTCCAGGCTCCCTCCCAGGGCGGCCATGCTGGGCCCTCCCCATACGACAGCTTATCCGACCAGGACCCCAAGGGGCCTCTGCCTCCAAGCCCTGGGCCAGCCCAGAAGGCAGAGGGGACAAGGTGCCAGCTCCACAGAGGCCCCTCCAAATCCCCACACACAGAGTGACTCCTAAAGTGACTTAACACACCTAGTCTTCTGCTGTCAGGATGGATGTCCATGCCTCGGTGGCTTTGTTAAGTGTAAAAATAATTCACTATGTGATCACTTAAAATCACAGAAATCCTCAACACCCCTGGCCCCAGAGCCATCTGGTCAACCGTGTACTCCTGTCTTCACTGCCTAGGCCTTCATTCCTACCAACTGCTGTCTGGCCTCTCCTCCGAATGCCCTTCGTGCCCTGTGGAGGTCACACTGGGCCACAGCTTTCTCCTGAGGCCTCTGGTCACTGCTGCCTCCACCTCTGGCCAGACCACTTGTCTACCCAGGAGTCCTCAGGCACAGGAGCTCAAAGCCAGTGGAGGGCTGAGCCCAGGGGGACTTCAGACTTCAGGATGTGTGAGCACACACATGTGCACACATGGATATGCACACACACACGCACACACAGATGCACACAAGTACACACATATGCACACATACGCATCTACACACACATGCACACATATGCACTGACGCTAGGAACCATGGAGTCACCCGGTGGGGAGGGGTGCTGGGCAGATGGACAGTCCATGGCTGGAGTGACAGGTGCAATGGGACCCGCATGGCTGCCCTGAGGGGTGCTGCCTGTCTTGCCCACAGTCTGAGCCAGGGAGTGGGTCCTGGCAACCAGGCACGGGAGGAAGGGGGCAGGTGTCATACAGCATCGCAGGTGCCGTCTAGACTGGGGAGGACCCCTGGCCATAGAAGGCATGGCTGTGGCTCTGTTCCTCCCGGCCCCTTGTGAGGGCCACCTGCGGGGTGGAGGGGGCTGCTGGGCAGATCAGGCTTGGGAATGGCTGCAGAAGCACAGGGGAATGTGATGGGGCCTCTGTCAGAATCTGAGCTCAAGATCCGGAGGAGGCGAGGCCCCAGAGGGCGAGGCCTGTGCCTCTTAGCGACACACATGGTTTACACAGGCCTGTGTGCGTGGCCTAGAGAGCTGTGAGAGGGTGGGGGCGCCTCTCTATCCCTGGACACCAGGCTGTCTTGGAACTGGACTCTAGTGCTCCTTAAGCCTCTTCCATCTGAGCAGGGAGCCCAGAGGTGACACCCCTGTGACGGGTGACTCTAGTCGCTGACAAGGGGCTCTGTCTTCCGCAGGCTGTTCTGTCCCTGCCCTGAGCCATAACTTGTCCTGTCCTACTGGGTCCCATGGAGTGAGTGGCTTGGGGTGCTGCTGGCCCATCAGGTCATGATGTGGCTTTGGAGGGACTGCAGCAGGGCAGATGGGCAGCACTACCCTTCTCTATGAAGCTGGCACAGGGGCGTGGGGTGTAGAGTGAGGGACAGGCTGGTGCTGCCCAGCCACATAGGCCCCATGGGGTCTGCCGGAAGACTAGAGCTTCCTGGAGTCACCTCCTTCTGGGTGCAGGGCGCCCAGGAGAGGCCAGGGTCTGGGACGCAGCCTCTGCACAGCAGAGGAATGGCTAGGCCCAACTACCGGGATGTTTGCAATCCTGCCATCAGCCACGGGCTCATCCAGGATTAGAAATGCCCTTCTGGACGTCAGGACAGAGGCCCTCGTTCACCTGCACACACGTCAGAGGTCAGGTGTTTTCATTTTGCAAGTTGGAACTGGGCACTGTCTGGAGCCCAGACAGGAATCCATGGGCAGCGGTGGGTGAGGGACGGGCACGGGGCAGGTGGCTGGGACCCAGCTCTGCTCAGAAGAGAGGACCCTGCCCATGCAAGGACACCTGGGCATGTCACCAGCTGCAGGACACACCCATGGACATGCATGAGTCTCCCTGGGTCTTGAGGATTTGTGTGGCTCAGGCCCACCCTTGGTAACTTGATGACAGATGTGGCTCATGCCATCGTGCCAGCATCCACGATGAGACATGGGAGTCCCGTTATCTGGCTTCCAAGCCATACCTGCCCTCTCTACCAAGTAAGGTGGCAGGCGCTGCCACCCACACATGACAGCTGCTCAGGGAAGAGGGCCAAGGGTGTGGGGCTCTGGGCAGCACTTTCCTGGGACCCTTCTACACGGCCACAGGGGGCAGCTGAGCCCAAAGGGACTCAGCTGCTGGCTGGGAGAGGACACTGAGACCCAGCTCTCCCGCTTATGGCCTGGCTGTCATTTTTAGAAAACACACATCTGGTTGCAACACTCCCAGGCTCCTGTGACCCAGGTCCAGCCTCCCTCCAGCCACGTCCCCTGCAAGCCACCCTCATGCCTGGCCCTGCAGCAATGTGGAGTCACCTGTGGGGCCTGAAACCCCCTCCTGCTTTTTGAACTTGCTCTTCCTCACCTGTCTGCCCAGCCGATGCCCGTTCTTCACAACCCACATCAGATGCCATCTCTCCAAGGAGCCTCCCTGAACGCCCCTCCCCCACAGCCCAGCCCTTGGCCCATCAGTCTCTGAAGTGCCATCTCCACTCATCTCCTTGCCTGTCTACAGCGTGTCCCCATCAGACTGTGGGCTCGGCTGGTGTTGGGTGTGAGCCCCAGTGCCGGGAGCGGTTCCTGTGTGTTTGCTGAGTGAGAAGCGAGTGAATGACTTGAATTCCCATGTGTCCGTCCTGTGGCTCCAGGGGAGGGCATCTGCACTGGGGTTGGGTCTGGCAAGCACTGTCCTTGCTGGGCTTGGGGGCTGGGTCAATGTCCTCCCTGGGGCTACAGTGGTGGACATATCACCTGTCTCAGGCTGGGGGTGGGAGTCTGGTCTGAGCCTCCAAACCTGGGGGGGACAGCAGGGAGGAGTCACCTGGCCCTGTCAGGGCTCATCCAGGAAGGGCCAATGTTGACCCCATGGAGGTCTGCACCAGGACAGAGGTCCCAGAGATGGTCCCTACTCCCTCCCCTTACAAGAGCGCAGCTGCCTGAGGGGAAGCCCCTGCCTGGGGTCAGAGGGCAAGGCCATGCCTCTGCACTGGGCCAGTCCAGCTGCTGCACAGTAAGTCTCCAGGGTCACGGATGCGAAGGGGACTGAAAAGACATGGTGACATCGGCTTCTCTCTGACCGTCAAGAATGTGAAATTCTCTGATTTTACGTGGCGGGAAAGGAAACCATCTTCCTATGAAGACTCAGCTTTCCTCCCGAGAAGGCACTTGTTTGCTCTGTGGCTGCAACCAACATGGTGACTTTCAGCCGCAGGGCACCCCGGGGCTTGGCTTTGGCCTCCCCTCCTTTTTCCTGTGTGACCCTCCTGTATGCTGAAGGCACCCCAGCCCTGTCTCTACAGACCTCAGACCTTTCTGGGTTCAGATCCATGTACCTGGCTGCCTACAGGCAGCCCAACCTCGGGAGCTGGGTGTCCATCAGGCTGCTCAGCTCAACACGCCAGATGCTCAACTGCTCAGATCCCTAGCTCTCCCGACACTGGCCTATGGACCTGCTCTCCTCCCTGTGGCCTCTGATGCCCATGACACCTCACCTTCTTGGGTCCTGGTGCTGGCACTTGGGAAGCCTCTCCATCCTGGCCCTGCCCATCCTTTGCCCATCACCCCTAGGTGTCAGAGCTGGAAGGAGACCTGGGCATCATTTGAACCAATTTCCTGATTTATAGATGAGAAAGCCCCGGGTGCAGGAGGGGACGTGACCAGCCTGAGGTCACAGGACAAGCGGCAGAGTCAGGTGTAGGACCCAGGTCTCCTACCTGCTGGGGGGGTGTCCTCCTCCAGCCCGGTCCTTTCTGACCAGGGCGACTGAGACACATCCTACTGTTCCCCCACCTTTGGGCGGGTGCCCCTTCCCCACCGCTCTTGATGTTCCTCACCTCAGACCATGCCCAGCTGCTAGCACGGGGTCTGTGGGAGGGCCATCTGGCCCACCCCGCCCTTCCCCGCTCATGCCCCACCCCGCTGCCCCTAACACTCTTCCTCCCTCTTCTCAGCCTGCCCAAGGAGCCTTCACTACTTCGGGTTCCCACCTGGCAGACGCTCTTCTCTGTTGTGTGCAAATTTGCCTTTCAATGTGCGGTCTCTGAAAGCCATCCAGGGCCCCATGCTCCTCTCGCCCACCACATTCTAGCTGGGGACTAGGCTGCTGCTTAGCACCGACCTGCCCCGCTCTGTCCTCTGCAGCTGGTTTGGAGAGGTCAGCCCCCTAGGACACTCATCTGCAATCTGGCAGCCAGATACAGGCCCTTGCTGTCCAGGATTTGCCAAGAGTGGCAGCACAGTCTTCCCCAGCCTGGTGAGACCAATGCCCCTCACCCCTGGGCTTGGACAGAGAGAGCCCAAGCCCTGGGGGCAGGAGACCCAAGGTGTCCATGAGACGGGAAGTCCCAAGGAGCCTGCCCCTTCCTGCGAGGCTGAGGGCCAGCATGTGGCCAGGTGGGGCCTCCCCACAGGGCAGCTTGGCTCTACGTGAAAGGACGGATCAGAGAGGAGACGCCAGCCAGGGAGCCATCCTGAAACAAAACACAGTCACTCCGGGGTTAGTTGGCAAGTCCAAACATGGCACGGGGAAGCAGAGGTCCTGTCCTCCCTCTGAGCACAGTCCCGGCTCAGCGTCTGCCCCGGAGAGGCTGCAAGGCAAGAGGAGCAGCGGCGTTCATCTGCTGAGGGCTGAGAGAAACGTGAGCGTTACCCCGGGCTGGCCCCGGCTGCTCTCCCTCACTATGGAGCTGGAAGGTGGCCCCTGACTTCTTTGCAAAGGTATGAAGCAGACAAATTAAAAAATCAACATAATGAAGAAAAGAAAAAAGATGCTCATGCACCAGTAAGACTCATTCAGGTAGAAATAGCCGGGGTGGAGGGCAGGAGGGAGGGAGCAGAGGCTGAGAGTGACCGTGTTTAGGACACAGCTGGTCTGCGCGCCCATAGTGCCGGTTTAGGCTCAGGGTACAGACATGGGACATGCAGCATGGCTCAGGCTCTGGCTACAAGTCTCTTCTCCCTGACTTGGGCTGAGGAAAAGCGGCCCCGGGGGCATCGTGTGCTCCTCAGTGGGGACAGCCTGGTCGATGTGCTTTCCTGGCATTATTTACACCGACAGCAGGGATGATGGCACTGGGGATCCTGCTCTGGCGCAGTGGGGCAGTGGGCAGTGATCCCTTAAAATAGAGCCTACAGTCCTGCTAATCTCAGGGAGGGCTTGTGAGCCACTGAGAACCTGGGATCTCAGGGGTGGGGCTGGGGGTTGTCTACTGCTGGCAGAGGCCCCTGGTGACCAGCAAAGCTGTGGGTGGGGGCGGGTGCTGGGGGCAGTGGCTGCTCTGAGGCTGCGTGTGAGAGGGCTCAGGGAGGGGGAGGAGGAGGAGGAGAGATGGCTACTGGCTCTGTGACAGGGAGTCACGCTTCAGGAACCTGCAAGAGAGGGGAAGAGAAAAGCGACACAAAAGCGTCCTACAAAGGAACAGACCCGACCACAGCTGGAAGGAAGGCAAACCTTTGAATCAGGTCCTTGAAATACAAGCTGCAGGAAGCTAGAACATTTTGGTGGACTTCAAACTCTCTGCCTTCAACAACAATTTTCAGGTCTGTAAACGCTTTCGCTCTGCGTTGCTGGTTCAATTCCTTCAACATTTCTGCAGAACAGAGAAGACAGACAGGGCCAGGTTCCCATTAAGAGTTTTTTTTAATTAAATTTTTTTTCCAAGAAGTAGAGAAATAGGAAATACTTGATACTGTTTCTTGGCAAGACTGGCTCAACACTGACAGTCAAAAGAAGTCACACACATAATGCATCAACAAGCAGCCACTGGGAGGGGCTAATAGCCAAAGGAACCACAACTTCCGAAAGCAAAAAAACCAAATATGATAAAAAAAAATCAAACCCAGAAACTGAAAGGTTGGGGGAGAGATTCCCATACTGACGATTGGAAACATAGAGAATACATTATCACAGACAACTAAAAACTGTTATAGAACTACGGAGCAAGTTCTCCAAATGCCAGTGGGTGCCGATGTATTGGAGACCAAGTCAAGCATGGCACTGTGATGTAAGATGGGCTGGGTATGGTTCAAAGGAATCACAACCACAAAACCTGCAAAAACAGCGTCCCTCATGTTAGACACTCACAGGCATGGCATGGGAGGAGACCCCCAGAAAGGAGGGGGCCGTGGGAGGCAGGCCTGGCAAGCGCCTCCTTCTGTTTCACACTTGTGGGGACTTTTTGGGAAAGCAAGCAAGCAAGGGACAGGGACCCTCTGCGCCTCCTCCCATGTCCCAGGAGAGTCTCTCAGGATGCCCACCCTTCCTGGGGCTTTGACATTGGGCAGAGTCTGCTTTGCAGCCCAGCAGGTCCCAGGAAGTGGCCTCGGAGCCTCCCATTCTGTGTGCACCTACCTGTGCCCGGTGTCTCGGCCACCTGGGGCTGGCACGTCAGTGCCCAGGCCCGCGGGCTCCGGACCTGGGGATGTCAGAAGCTTCTCCCAGACCCACCCCAAGGCTTAGAGAGGAGAAGGAGGGAAGAGCCTGCCAGCCACCCTGTCAGGGTTGCACATTTTCTTTCATTGGCAAAAGTTAGGGCCTTCAGGTGACCACCGCTCCCCACAGCCTTGCCTCATCTGCCTGCCCCGGGGATCCCCTGGGCAACTGCCCTTAATGTTGTCGGTAGCTGTGTGTCAGAGGCCCTGATCCTTGGGACAGAATGACCTAGACTGTCTTCGGGCCAGGTGATTTCCCTTGGCAGGTATATGGGAGAGGGTGGCCTGCAGAACTGAGCCCTGCTCTGGCCTCATTAGTTTCGCTGTCCACATGGGCCTGGGCCGGCTGCCTGCCAAGACTCCTTCCTGGGCCCAGCTGCTTCTGACGTTTGGCCAAGCCCCTCTGCCTCTCTGAGCCTATGCTTCTGTATCTGTAAAATGGGGATTGAGGATCCTGCTTCTGCTCCCTGACTGCCAGGTATGCCCTTTTTGGCGAGGACACACTGGGGTCTGCTGAAGACCAAGGAAGACAGTGGGAGGGGCCCCTGGAGAACGTGCCACAGGCATGTACAGGAACCAGGGTAGGGGGCCCTGCCCTCTGGGAGCCATGGGCAGTGCTGAATCACTGGCCGCACCAACCCCAAGTCACACTGAGTCTGGATTCACAGTAAAGCATCTCCAGGGGTGTGGAAGGAGGCTCCATCTGGGACTTCAGGAAGGATCCACATGGGGTGAGCTCAGACCTGGAGTAGGCGGGGCGCTACAGACAGACCAACAGGCTCAGAGCACTAGTGGGAGGGCGCGGGAGCACGAGAGGGCAGGTGCAGGAGGACAAAAGGGCCACGGGCAACAGGGAATGCAATGAGGCAGTGGGCAGGGCCAGATGTGGCAGTCATGCCTGGGAGCTCCAGCTTCATCCCGGGCACAAGGGAGCCACAGGGGGTTCTGGACAGGGAGTGGCGAGGTTAGACTCGGGTTTCAGACAAATCCACACAGAGGCAGAACGGGGAGTGGTTTGGGAGGCTGATGGGAGGCAGGAAAGTGCCATGCGGAGAGTTGTGCCTTCAAGCTAGACCTGAGGGTGAACCTGCACTTGGCCTTCTATCAGCTGTGTGACCTTGGGAAAGGGGACCCATATCCCCAGAGCCTCGGGGTCCGCACTTGTTGAAGGCTCCATGAGACAGCCTGTGGCGGACACACAGGGAGCGCTCAGCAGCGGGGAGAGTGCGGTGCTGCTGATGGTGATGGTCTTTCCAAGGGAGAATTGAGAAGGCCGGAATTACACATCAGCAGCGGGACAGAGAAACAGGAGTGTGAGGCCCGTGGGGCTCAGTGCAGGAAGGAAATGGGCAGGGGGAGGCCCGGAGACCCCCAACAGGTTTTTGGAGGGGTTGGTGGTGGGACATCAGGAAGCGAGGGAACAAGATTGGTTGGGGGGTGGGGCTGTGGGATGCCCAGAGAATGAGGCTGCTTGGGGGATGGGGTAGGAGGCGGTGGATAAAGGCCTGGGATGGAGACAAGGCAGGGAGCCCAGCGGCGCCAGCAGACAGCCCAGGCGCAGGGGAGACAGCGCAGGACCAGCTGCAGGGTCAGGCTGGATAAGCCTCAGTGCTGCATGCACACGTGTCTCCAGAAAGTCACCAGCTGAATTAATGCCCAAACCATGAGCCAGGTAGATAACGTCACCTTTTTGAGTGAAGCGGTAGGGGAGGGGACAGTATTCTGGGCTGGGATTCTGAAAACCTGGATCCTGGTTCTTCTTCCAGCATTGCCACTAATTGGTAAGTGACCCTGGGCCAGCCACCCCAGCTTTCTGGGCCTCCGTTCCCTCTAGCACAGAAAGGCAGAGACACCTGCTCTATAGCCCCCTGGGTGTCAGGCTGCAGAGAGTGACAGATGTGGCCCCACATGCCTGCTGAGTTAATCAGTGCTTAGGGGCCTGGAAGACACAACAGCACACAAATGTCGACTTCTGGGCCTGCCCTGCTTGCTCCGGGTCTGAGCTCGCCCCATGTAGATCCTTCCTGAAGTCCCCCGAGGCATCCTGAGGGTTTCTGAAAACGCTCCTTTCAAATCGAGGCCCCGGCAGTGATTCTGCAGCCCCAGTCCCGGCCATGACACCTGCTACTCCAGGAATTCTGGGGCCAGACCTGGAAGGTGCTCGGAGGCTCAGGTGTCCCCATCCTAATGTAGGTGCTTTCTGTTCCCTCTGACTCTCACTTGGTAGAAATCTGGACTTAATAGTTGGGGAAGATTATTCACTTTCATTAGAATTTTTCAATTTATGAAAGTGCTCACCAGGGGATTCCTTTTCCCAGCAGACCCCAGGCACATTCCAAGTATGGATTGGCAGGTGTGTGAGGGCTGCTGCCCACTGCCTGCCCAGCCGGCAGAACAGGAGCTCAGGCTCCCAGGCTGTGCCTGTCGGAGGGCAGCAGACCCAGAATCCACAAGTGGATGCCAGGACCCTCTGGGCACAAGCTGCCCTCCTCCCTGCCCCATGTCTTGGCAAAGGACACCCCCTAATCTCTGAGGAGCTTCCAAGTGAGGTGTGTGCAGAGGCCTTCCAACAGCAAGGCCTGTTCCCAGGTGTGGGGAGGCCTGCAGGCCTCGGGGCTGGGTCTTAGGAGTGGACTTCCAGAAGGACCTGGCACCCTGCATCTTCTGCTGCTCCGGGTTTCTGTGGGAGAAGACAGCTCAGAGACCCTGTGGCCCTCCCTGGAGGGAAGCTCGGTGGGGTCTGGTGAGTGGCGCCCTGGCAGCGGAGCTCAGCCAGTGGGGTGAAGACTTGGCCTCAGCATCCGTCCCTGTCGGCTACACCGGGGTTTGTTTTTGGGTCTCCTCGGCTTTGAGTGGGATGCCTGCTTGTATCTGTGGGACTGCACGTCTTGGCCTTACTCACGGAAGTGGCTGCCCCATGCTCAGATTTTTGTCCTGGGCCTCTTTGTCTCTTTCCCCACTTCCTCCCATATGCCCAGGATGCTCGACTCAGCGTCCAGCACGGAGCTTCTCTTCCTGTGGAAGATGGTCCACCACCCGCATTCCGCAGGTCTTCTCCCGGGGCCCTCCCCTACCTCATCACACCAAGTCCCATCTTCTTTACCTCCTAGTATTTTCAGGATCCAGCCTCTCCAGCCCGGGGCACTCCTGCACCCTGAGTGAGCGGCCCTTATCTTTCACCTGAGTCACTGCAGCAGCCTCTGACGATGTCTCCCTGTTTCCAGCCTGTCCCCCTCCAGGCCACCTCCACACTGCAGCTCCCCACATCCACCGGCCACACAAATCCTTCAAGGGCTGAGCAGAGGCAAGCAAGGCTCTCTGGGAGGCCACCCCATTCCCTCAGCTCCTCCTCCACTCCCAGAGGGCCCCTTGCTCCCCAGCGAAGCCTCCTGCACACCACACATGTCCTCACTCCAAGTCTCTGTCCTCTCTGCCTGGATCTTCCCTCCCCTTCCTCCATCTGGCCAAGCAGTATTTATCCTTCACCACCAGGGAAAGTGTTATTTTGTCCTGGGCCTCTTTGCCTCCTTCCCCTCTTCCTCCCACACCCCCTGCCCTGGGCCCTCCTCCTTATGCTGGCAGAGCAACCTGCGCTCACTTCTTTACAGCATACTAGGAGTTGTAATTATTTATTTACATGTCTGACTCTTGCACTAGACTGTGTTTTATTTATATTTTTATCTTCAACACTCAGCACAGGGCCTGGCATACACATAGCCGGTGTGAAGGATGGCAAAAATTCTTTGTAACTTCCCCCATGAAGAGGAAGAGATGATTTCCCTTTGAATCTTGGCTGGCTTTGTGATTTGCTTTGGACCACAGAATGTGGCGAAGTGACCCTCTGTGAACGTGAGCCATGGCCTCAAGAAGCTTTGCTTTCTTTCACTCACTCACTAGGGATCTCTGCTGCCACCACCATATGAACGAGCCTGGGCTAGCCTGCTGGAGCATGAGAGACTGTGTGGAGCAGAAATGAGCTGTCCCAGATGAACCATTTTGACCAGCCAGTCTCTGCCAACATCAGCCGGGCCTGACCTAGATCAGCTAAGTGTAGCCCAAATTGCCAAACCAGAATCACAGTCTAAATAAGTGGCTGTAGTGAAAACACTCAGTTTTAAGTCACTCAATTTTAGAATTGTTTGGTAAACAGCAAGAGCTA